CACCCACTAGTTCAACAGGTTCTGCATGTAGAATTCTGTGACATTGATGACATTCTTCAGGTTGTGTGACCACTCTGGCCTCCTTTTCTGAGTTGTTTCTCCTTCATTACCATGAACTCACTGCCACTGTTTCCCCTTTTGAGTTGCTGTTTTCAGTTTGATCCCATGTAGATAATCTTTCAAACGAGCCCAATGTTCAAGACAAACATTCTTTGCTGTATAAGCTAACCTGCTTTGATTAAATAATACTTCAGGGGATTTTTTTAGTGTTTTTTTGTGAATTATATGATCGTTTACAAGGGAAAACATTAGTTTTACATTCATTCTATCTTATACTGTTTCATTGCCATGGTTACAATCCCCTCCATGCAGCATCAACCAACCAAAGGGTATACCCTGCAAGCCTGCCCCCTACACTACCCTGCCCCCCCTCCAGTCTTCAGCACACAGTCGCGTTCCCTCTCTGGATCTAAAGTCCCCAGCTTCTTCATCTGTCCACGTCATTGTCTCTGCCTCCATCTCAGGCAACACTGCACCTCTGGGTAGGGTCCCGCTCTCGGCTCTTCTCCGTTGATGGGCCTAGGGACCTCCGCTCCTCGACTGGAAAGTTAATCACTCTTCAGGGGATATTTTTGACTTAAGGTTCAAGATTTAAGGTTCACAATTTTATTTCCTTAGGACAACAATTTTGGCTTTTTGTCTAGCCTCAGTGGCTCCAGAAAGTCTGGATTCCATGAGTTTTCTGTTCTGCATTTTTTCTCCTTTTCATCAGAACCCTATGTTGTTGTTGTTGTTGTCAGATGCCATCGAGTCGGAACCTACTCATAGCGACCCCATGCACAGCAGAATGAAACAATGTCCGATCCTGGGCCAACCTCACTACCGCCGCCACACTTTACGCCATCAGTGATGTCACCTGGCCAATCCATCTCGTTAGGGGTCTTCCTCTTTTTCTCTGACCCTCCACCTTACCCAGCATGACATCCTTCTCCAGCGACTGTTCTCTCTGGACAATGTGTCCAAAGTATGAGAGACGAAGCTTAGCCATCTTGGCCTCCAAGGAGCACTCTGGTTGCACTTCTTCCAAAACAGATCTTTTGGTTCTTTTGGAATTCCATGGCACTTTCAATATTCTCCTCCAACACCACAACTCAAAGGCATCAATTCTTCTACGATCTTCCTTATTCACTGTCCAGCTTTCACATCCATATGAAGTTATTGAAAATACCATGGCTTGGGTCAGGCGCACCTTAGTCCTCAAGCTGACATCTCTGCTCTTCAATACTTAAAAAGTTCCTGTGTAGCAGATTTGCCCAATGCAATACGTCATCTGATCTCTTGACTGCTGCTTCCGCGAGTGTTGATAGTTGATCCAAGAAGAATGAAGTCCTTGACAACCTCAATCTCTTCTCCATTGAGAAGAATGCTGTTTATTGGTCCAGTGGTGAGGATTTTTGTTAAAAAATAACAATAACAAGGCACTATCCAAACCTGACTTCATGGCAGAGGAGACATTTTTTCATGGAAGCAAATACGCCCGTGTTCCATTTCCTTCCCCTTGACTCTTGCTCTTGATACATGGTTTCTTTGTGAGGTTTGCAATTGTTCAATTATAAATGCATGCACAATAGAGCTTATCTCTGGAGCAGTTTTTATTTCTTTTATTATTTTTTTTTTTTTATTTAAAGCTTTTAAGGTGAATTGAGTCATAGTTCACATGGCAGAATACTGATTTTGCATGCAACCAATTGTATTTTGTTTCATTGCCATGATTATAATACCCTCGGGCAGTGTTTCCTTCTGCTGTGCCTATTAGGGTCGCTATGAGTCGGTACCGACTCGATGGCACCTAACAACAACAATGCACCATTGGTTAACAGTATTTGCCTCTATTCCCTCTTTTTTTGTTTTTATACACAGGAATATACAATCATTTAAACAACCAAAGGGCACATTTTACAAGCCTGCCTCCTGCCCACTGGCACAGTCTTTTCTTTCCATGAGTCTAGAGTCCTCAGCTGCTCTTTCTCTCCATGCCATATCTCTGTCTCCGTCTCTGGTGTCGCTGCTTCTCTGGTTAGGATCTCATGCTCTGCTTCAGTTCTTCCCACTTGAAGGTCCTAGGGTCCTCTGTTCCTGGAAGATTAACTATTCCTCCTCCTTTTGTTACACATCTTCTGTCTTTACAGTTGTGACAAACACAATTAGTCATGATAATAATTATTATTGAATCAAAAGGATCCTATCCCTTACTCCTTTTACCAGATCCATCTAGTCAAGCTGAAAACTATTCAGTGGAGATTCTACCCTCCCCCTTCACTCTGAAACTAAAATCCCTCTTGAAACCTTGTAAGCCAGCCACTTCGTGCCTTTATCGCCCCCTCATTTTAGGTACCAATGTTTAAGTTGCCTGTCCCTACCAACCCTGTATACTGAGGGGATAGGCTTGATCCTTGATGTGAAGACTCCTTCCCTTATAGTTGTTATTTTGAGCAACTACATCCATAAACAAAGGTCAAGCTGATCAAATTGTAACAATTTACACTTGCTTCCTATATCAAACTTCTTTATCTTCCTCTAGTCCAGTTCTGATCATCAAACCATCCAAGCTAGGTCAAACGGGTACTATCTGCAAGTTTGGGCATTCTTCCTCCCACGTCATATCAGCTGAACGCTTCATATCAGCTCTAGCCCCAGTGACTAGGTCAGTGTCCATGGGCTCAGGAGTTCCCAAATCTCCCCAAACTTTGGACCAACCAGCCCTTCCTCTTCTCTCTCTCATCTCAAGGTCGACAGGAGTCTATGGAACATGGTCAAGCTCAGCCCATGTCTTCGTTACTGCTTTTCCCCCACTTCCACTCACAAGTAGACCAAAGCAGTCACCAGTGAGCTTACAAGACTGCTCGTGTGCTCCCTTTGAGTTTCAGTCTTAGAAGGGGTTTGTCCTGAAGGGCTGACTTTTCTGGACTTGATGGCTCCCAGGTGAACAGCTTGCTTGTTTTGTAACAGCCAAACAGTCTGCTTTTTTTTTTTTTTCCTCCCCTGCTGGTCTTTCTTTCAAGAAGTATCTTCTGTTCCTCTAGCCGCTCCAGGTTGGTCTGCTTGTCCTTTCAATCGGGAATATCTCCCTCAGAAGCTTCTGGACCCACCCAAAATTCCACCTAAGGCCCCGTACTCTACAAAGGCTCAACAAGAGGCCTATCTCACTGGGCAAATTCTAGAACTCCATTTAGGTATTCCAATTAGTTATAGGCTGAAGACGGGCTTACAAGCTTTTTGTAATCATATTTCCCAGTATTCCTTTCTATCTTACTTAAATGTCTATTTTACAATAGTAGGCAGGGGAAACCAATATCCATACCTTAACATTATTTCCCCTCTTTTCCCCATTCAGACTAGGCCTCAGTCCCTGTGTCACAGAGCCCTGTTGTTCCAAGGTTGAGTATACATCACTATTTACCTCTGTCCCGTTTAGCTCATGCAAACCTGCCTAAGTGTTCCCCTATCTACCTTGTTCTTTCCCCTCTTCCCCTTCCTGTGTACCGCCCTCCCCATTACCTGAGCTATGATATGACAGTCTCCTAACCTGTGCCTTACTGTCCCCTCCTTCCCACCCTTAGTAACCATCAAAGAATTTTTTTGTTTTAATATGGAAATCTTTGCTTAAGCTTTTACATTAATGGTCTTATACAAAGTTGACCTTTTGTGACTGACTAATTCCACACCAGGAGCCCTGGTGTGGTGCTGTGGGTTAATGTGCCAACTGCAAGGTTGGCGGTTCAAGCTCACCAGCTGCTCCTCAGAAACCCTATACAGGGTCGCTATGGGTTGGAACTGACTCAACAGCACTTAACAACAACAACAGCAGCAATTCATTCAGCACAATGTCCTCAAGGTTCATCCATGTTATGTCATGGCTTGCAACTTCCTTGTTATTCTTCAAGGTAGCATAGTATTCCATTGTGTGTATGTACCACAGTTTGTTTATCCATTCTTCCATTGATGGGCACTTAGGCTGTCTCCATCTTTTTGCTATTGTGAATAGTGCTGCTATGAACATTGGTGTGCATATATCTACTCATGTTATGGCTCGTATTTCTTGTGGATATATACCAAGTAGAGGAATTGCTGGATCATAAAGTATTTCTATTTTCAACTTTCTGAGGAAGCACCATACAATTTTCCAGAGTGGTTGAACCATTTTACATTCCTACCAGCAATGTAGGAGGGTCCCAGTCTCTCCGCATCCTCACCAGCATTTATTGTCCTCAATTTTTCTGAACTTCATTGTTATTGCTGGTATGAGATGATATCTCATTGTTGTTTTGATTTGCATCTCTCTAATGATTAATGGAGCTCTGGTAGCATAGTGGTTATGAATCTGTCTGTGAACTGCCAGGTCAGCAGTTTGAAACTACCAGCTGTTCCGCGGGAGAAAGCTGAGGCTTTCTGCTCCCGTAAAGATTTACAGCCTCAGAAACCCTATCCAGGGTCGCTATGAGTCGGAACCGACTCCACGGCACATAACAACAACAACAATGACTAATGATCTTGATCATTTCTTCATATGTTTGTTGGCTGCCTGGAGTGTTTTCAGTGCTTTGGAAGAAGCTTTGGATTTGTTTTTGCTAAACTTGTAGGCGTATTAAAAGTCTGGGTCTTTCTAGACCACTGAAAATATACACTTGTGACCTAGACCAGAGTAAGACTAGAGGGCAAGTTCTTGATAAATTCCTGGTAACGAACTTCCTGTTTTTTTCACTCCCAAGACAGATGGGCTGCCTCTAGTCTTCCTTCACCAGCTCCTCTGTATAGCTGCAGCATCAGTGTCTGCCCATCACTCTTATTTTCTGTTTGATCTGTACTTTAGTCCCTGGGAATTCCCTTATTTTTTTTTTTCAAGTTGGCATATCCATTTAATAAGATATGCCTATTATTTTAAACTCACAGTGAATTTGACTGTTGGGTTGGTTCAGCCATAATATTTTTAACCCCTGCAGACCCAAGTGAGATCAGATCCCAGCGACATGCAGTTTTCCATGATGAAGACTGGTGACCGAACTTCTGCTGCTGAAAACACAGTAAGAATCCTAAATCAAATTCACACCCACATCTTTCTGATAATTGTATAATCTTGTTTCCTTTTCTAGGATGGCTCAGAATCTGTAGTGATACAAAAAGTAAGATCTGCCACTTATTAACTTAGAGTATGGCCCAGCGTGTCAGGTCTGAAGGTTGTTTTAGCTGCTATTGAAGGGCCATTATCACAGCAAACATGGACAGCTTCCGGGTGCAGTTGGCATTGTTCTTCTTAAAAGCGCTGGGAGGACAGAAGAACTAATCTGTGGATAATTTTTTATTTTCACTCTATCTGATGCAATGACTGGTGCTCTGAAAGCTATTTTTGTATTTAATATTTGGATTCTTTTTTAATACTTATGTGTATTCCCCCCCCACAACATTTTAACATTCTGAAACCCATATAAATTTCACAATCACTGTGAATTTGTTTAATGAAGTAATATTGTTTATTGGCTAAAAAGTTATTTTTATTACTAAATAAATTATAGTGTCCTAGTATGAGTCAGAAGGAGTTCTGGTAGTGTAGTGGTTATGAATCGGGCTGTGAACCACAAGGTCAGCAGTTCGAAACTACCAGCTGTTCCGTGGGAGAAAGATGAGGCTTTCTACTCCCATAAGGATTTATAACCTCGGAAACCCTGTACAGGGTCACTATGGGTCTGAACTGACTCCACAGCCCATAACAACAACAACAGCTATGAATCAGAACCAACCTGACGGGAGACAGCACTTAGCAATACATTTTAGAATCCAAGAAATATATAAAAGTGGTTGTTTGTTTTTATTTGAAATAATCATTCTTTATGAGCCCTGGTGTGGTACTGTAAGATCAGCACTGGACTGCTAGCCACAATATTGGTGGTTCAAATTCACCAGCCTCTCCTTGGAAACCCTATACAGAGTCGCTGTGAGTCAGAAGTGACTCCATGGCACTTAACAACAACACCAGTGAGTCCACATAACTAATACATGCCTTTTTTTATCAAACACAGTCATACCTTCCACTGAGAATTATTACTAGGTATTAACTGTGTGTCCCTGAATGGCATAAAGAGTTTATATTTTAAGTTCCTAACCAAAAGGATAGAAGTTCAAGTCTACCCAGAGGTGCTTTGGAAGAAAGGCTTGGGGACATACTTCTGAAAAACTCAGCCATTGAAAACTTTATAGAGTTCAGTTCTACTCATACCCACCTGGATTGCCATGACTTGGTGGCAACTGGAAAGGAACTGCCTTGTGTGAGCAGCAGAGGGACGATTTTGTAGCCACACTGACAGCAAGTCACTTTAAATCCTCCGCAGAGGTGCAAATCTATAATCGCAAAAGGCTCAATGGAATGGAAGAACTTTATTCTCTGAGGAATCTGAGTTCAGTTGTAGTGGACCTATGTTGAGCTTTCCTTTCAATATTGCACAGTACTCATTCATATTAGAGAGCTACAGAGTCCTGGTGTGGCATCGTAGGATAAGCACTCGACCTCAAGGTTGGCACTTCAAACTCACCAGCCACCCTTCACAAACACTATTGTTGTTAAGTGCCATAGAGTCAGTTCTGACTCATAGCGACCTTGTATAGGGTTTCCAGGGAGTGGCTGGTGAGCTTGAACCGCCGACCTTGAGGTTCAAACTGACCTTGCAGTCCACAGCGCCATACCAGGACTCCCCAGAGACACTATACAGGATTGGTATGAGTCAGACCCAACTCGAGAAACAACACAGATAATTTATAAAAAGTAATTACACAAAAGTATTTGAGTATATTCCAAAGATATTGGGGCTGTGTATAGCCAAGGACTCTTGTTTCTGTGTGCCCTTAAGTCAGTTCTGACTCAGCACCCCTATAGAACAGAAGAGCTATCTCACAGGGTTTCCTAAGTTGTAACCTTTACAGGAGCAAATCGCTAGATCTGTTCTCCCGTGGAGTAGCTAGTGGGTTTGAACAACCTACCTCTCAGTTAGCTGCCAAGCATTTAACCCTTGTATTGTCTGGACTCCATCTAAGGACTCTTACTGGCATATGTTTATAATATATTTTTACTAATTAAATTATTTTAGATGTGCTTACTAAATATACCTATTCCTCAGTTATCAACTATCTTAATATGCAACATTTTGTGTCTATGACAGTTGTAAAATATCTGTACAACTATTTTGTACACTAACAAAATTAATTAATTCTGACAGCAATGAACACCAACGAGCAAGGTGAGAGGAACACTGGTAGTGATAGTTACGTTTACTTGTCAACTAGACTGCACCTCAATTCTCAGTGTCTTGGCAGTTATATAATGATGTAATTTGGCAGTGACGTAATCATGGAATCATTTTCCATTTTGTGATCTGATGTGCTCATCTTCCATTTTCACATGACAGCCTTGTATCTGGAACCTAACTATATCGATAAGTAAGGCTTGGGTGTGGTACCATGTAAATTTGGCTCATTGTTTTCATAAATTAGGTTCAGCTCTTTTGGATTTTTTTATTGGTCTTTTCCTGAAGTAATTAATTTCACTATCTTTTAACCTTCTTTGGCAGATAAGTGTGGTGGTTGGCAAGAAAACTTTGTTTCTTTTTAATCTGAATGAACCTGATAACCCAATTGATTTAGAATTTCAGCAACGTTATGGCAACATCGTCTGCTATAGTTGGTACGTACAGAAAATTCATCATAGAAGGACAGTCATGTGTTTTCCCTTACTAATTATTGTTCATATATAATACATAGTTTTTTCTTTAGCATTCTACCCCATATATAACATTTTCTGGAGTAGAGTCTATGATTTAGTATGTGAAACTACCTAGCATATTGTCTGTTACACAGTGTTGTTGTTGTTAAGTGCCCTCGAGTCAGTTCCGACCCATAGCGACCCTGTGTAGGGTTTCGAAGGAGCAGCTGGTGAGCTTGAACTGCCAACTTTGCAGTTCAAGCGGCTTTTCAGTCTGGCGCATTAGTAGGTCCTTAATAAATTGTATTCTGCACTCCGTTAGTTTCAGGTACCTGAGAATTTACTGTAGTGCCCTTTGTACTTGAGCTCCCTTTTCACTAGATTGTTGACTTTCCTGCTACAGGTATGGTGATGGCTACATCATGATTGGTTTTTCACGTGGATTTTTTGTGGTTATTTCTACTCATATTCGAGAGATTGGCCAAGAGATCTTTCAGGCTCGTGATCATAAAGATAACTTAACCAGTATCGCAGTATCACAGACCCTTAACAAAGCTGCAACATGTGGAGATAACTGGTAAGTTGGGTTCAGATTTCATGGGAAAGCTTAGCACGGAATCCTTGAGAGATTTGACAAGACTTTGATGGCCAGTATGAATCTGGCAACCCGTACTTTCTTAAACTCATAGAGCATGTTTGCAGTTGCAAATTTCTGAGACTCCTTTACCTCTGTCCTTAAACAGTCAGGGCAAAAAACCTAACACAGAGTATGCTTGAAAATCAACCTTAAAAATAAAATTAAAAGATAAATAAATAAAATAGACAGCTCCGGGTAATAAGGAGTAAACACACTCCACCCTGTCTTTCCTACTGAATACCGATATAAACCTGGCAGAATGCATGAAGCATCTAAGTAAGGACTCTGAAAAGTAAATAGTAGCAGGCAGAATTGAGAAGAAGACCAGAATTTGAAGTACCACCAAACCAGTGGTGAGTCTCTTGTTTGTCCTCCAGTGTCTCTCATTCTGGCCTCAAGGCAACCAGAAATGTGGAAGTCAGACAGAGAGCGTTCTAGAAGCTCTCACAGTTTGGCTCAAGTTGCAGGAAAGGGAACTCATGACATTCAGAAAGACTGGGAAAAGACTTCTGATTTCCTCTTTTTGGTCTTTGTGTTCTCTTATGTCCCAGCCACCAAAGGACCCACAGGCACCTAACAGTTTGTGGGGTAATCCTACCCTTAATCAGAAAAGGGGCCAACTCCCACCATTTATTTGTCTCTGTCTTCTCACTACTTGCCTTTTCCCCCAGTCATGAAATGTGTAAGGTAGAGTAGATAACTAGTACTTTAGAGTTCTTGATGGTGGACTAATGAGGGAAGCCAAGGAAACCAGAAAATACGAGGGAGATCAACAGAGGAGGGAGCACTGGAAAGCAGTCCATAAAGATATTTGTCAACTCCTGAGCTCATCCATGTGCTGTATTTGTGAGAATCTGATCCTAAAACAAACCAAGTTTTTGAGAACTGAACTGTAGTATAGGTTACTTTTCAACAAATGGTGGTGGCAAAACTGGAAATAATTTGTAGAAGAATGAAACAAGACCCATATCGCAAACCGTACACAAAAACCCATATCTTACACCATATACAAACTCATTTTGTATCAACTACAAAGATCATCAAGGAAAAAACAGGGACAAAGTTAGGGACTCTAATACATGGCAAAAATATTCTCTCTAACATTACTAAAACACACACAAACAGCAGAAGACAAAATACATGACCGAGACCTCTTAATTTTGCCAAAAGAGTGAAACGGGAACCAACAAACTGGGAAAACTTTTTTGCAAGGACATATAAGACAAGGAGCTCTGGTAGCGTGGTGGTTACAAATCGGGCTGCAAACCTCAAGGTCAGCTGTTCGAAACTACCAGCTGTTCCACGGGAGAAAGATGAGGCTTTCTGCTCCCATAAAGATTTACAGCCTTAGAAACCCTGTACAGGGTCACTATGAGTCGGAACCGACTCCATAGCACATAACCACAACCACCACCAGACAAGGGACTAATCGCTAAAATTTATAGAAAACTGTGTGGCGCTATAGGTTAAGCACTCAACTTCAAGGTCAGTGTGAACTGCAAGATTGGTTCTTCAAACTCACTAACTGCTCCTCAGAAACCCTGTACAAGGTAGCTATGAGTCGGAACTGACTCAACAGCTCTTAATAACAACAACAACTACAACTACACAATCCCCCTGCAAAAAAAAGACAAACAGCCCAATTTAAAAATGGGCACAGTGCCCTTTGGTGGTGTAAATGATTATATATGCCTGAGTGTTTAAAAAAAAGAGCTGAAGTGAATAGAGAGAAACACTGTTAACTGATGGTACTTGGAGGGGATTATAATCATTGTAATGAAACAAGGTGTTTGATTTGTTGAATGTAAAACTGATGCTATGCCCTGTAAACTTCCACACAATCCACAATAAAAACCTTAAAAAAAAAAAAAAAGTGGGCACAGGGCATGAACAGACACTTTACCAAGGAAGATATTCAGGGAGCCAACAAACATGTGAAAAAATGTTCACAATCATTAACCATTGGAAAGATGCAAATCAAAACAACAATGAGATATCTCGCACCAGCATTGATATCAAAGTTAAAAAAAATAGAAAACAACAAATGCTGGCAAGAGTGTGGAGAGACTAGAACCCTCATACATTGCTGGTAAGACTGTAGAATGGTTCAATCACTGTGGAATGGTATGGTGTTTTCTAGAAACTTAGTACTACCGTATAACCCAGTAATCCCTCTACCTGATATAAATACACAAAAAATAAGAGCCAGGACATGAGTAGATATCTGCATGCTGATGTTCACTGCAGCACTATTCACAATAGCAAAAATATGGACACAGCCTAAATGCCCATCAGTGAAAGAGTGGTAAACAAACTTTGGTACATACACACAATGGAATACTATGCAATGTTGAAGAATAACGGTGAATCTGTGAAACACCTCCTAACATGGATGAACCTGAAGAACATTATGCTGAGCGAAATAAGTCAGACACAAAAGGACAAATATTGTATGAGAACACTATTTGTAGAAGCTCAGCAGAAGATTCTCATACTAAAAGAAACATTCTTTATTGGTTACCAAGGGTGCGAGGGAAGGGAGAGAAATTCACTGGCAAGAGGGTGGGCATATGTTAACACAGAAGACAGGGAGCGTAGTATGCAAGAAAGGGGAGGGAAATATACAAGAAGAGGGGAGGTTGGCAGTAGAATGATGAAGATGGATGAAGATATATAAGAGTTTGAAGTAAGATATTTGTACATGGGTAGTCACAGGGAGGAAGTGGGACAACTGTTATTGCAGGGAGGGGACTGCAATCATTGAGATGAAACAAAGTGAATGATTTGTTGAATGTAAAACTAATGATCTTGTCTATAAACCTTCACTCAATTCACAATAAAGTGTTTAAAAAAATAAAAAAAGATCATAGTCCAGGTCCCATATTGACCACTGAGTGGACCATATACGAGGCGCATCTGAACATTACTGCAGAGTTTTTGAAACTGGAAATGGCAGTTTAACTCATAAGGCACAGAAGATTAGTTTGAAACTTGTTACTTGAAACCAACTGGGTTAATTTCATGCTAAAACAAAAATACTAACCATCTCCATGAGATTTGAACAAGACACAATATCTCATAATATAGTCAACATGTCTAAAAATCTAATTATGTGACTATCAGGACAATCTCAACTTACTTGGATCAAAGGCACTCAAAGACATGTAAGGATAATGCATATAGCAGCTATTATAAAAGTAATCCAAGAGAACAAACAAGATGGCAGTAAAGAGCTCCGCCAACAACAACACAGAATACCCGACCAAGTAGGCTTAGGGGATGGTCCCAGAACTATGACCCACATATAAAGGAATATTTAGAAGGTTGGAAGGCTCACAGCTGGGAGAATTTGTGGCACAATCAAGAATCTGTTGCTTTCTAGTCCGGGACACCTGGCTGCTCCAGGAGCCGCCATCTTGGGTAAGACCAAGCGGGGGAAGGATCAGAGCGGCCACAGACGCCTGGCAGAACCGCTGAGATAAAGGAGTGGACATTCTTTTCTTTTGGTATCTGTTCATTGGTCCCTTGCTGTCTGCGCACCTCCATTCTGGTGACTATAGGGGTGCCTGAGCTAGTGGGC